CCGTCGCACAGCCCCGCACTGAGCGCACGCCCCATCGCACGCGCGCGCCTTCGCTCACCCCGCTGGGCGTGGCCTCGCACTCAGCCTTCCTCCAGTCCTTCTTCCGGCAGCTCGTCTGCTGGAGCTTAAACTCCAGCCTCACAAAGGTCCCGGCCGGGAACGGCTACCCACAGACAGAGGAAGGCCAGCAGCCAGCTGAGCAGGCAGCGCCCTTCCTGGACGTGACCTGTCCCTCCTACCCCGCCCCCTGCCCCCTGTGAGACAGCACGTCCCAGGAGATGGCTGGGCTGGCTGGCCCTTCTCTGGAGAGCTGGGCGCTGCTGGGGCCCAAGCGCCTTTGTACCTCCTCCCTGGGAACGTGCTGACCATCCCCCTCCCCTCCCTGGGGTGCCGCTCACCATGTCCATGGCACTGTCCACACTGGTCTCCCGGAAGGCCCACTGCACGGGCGGATGCTTGTGGAACTCCTCCAGGGCCACCTGCAGGCCCAGGTGCTGGGCCGCCGTGAGCTCATCCCTGCCCAAGCCCATCGCGCCCGGCCACAGGGCCAGGGGGAGCAGCAGCTGCCACATGGCTTCACCTTAGTCACCCTGACCCTGCGAAAGGTATGTGTGGATCCTCAGCTCATGTGCCAGCCCGCGGAGCCACCAACTCCCGGGCCCTGTGGCTTGGGGACCACATCTGGTGGAGCTCTGGGCAGAGGTGCAGGGACAGGGAGTGGCGCTTTGCAGAGATTCCCCTGGTATTCCCCTGGCCCTTCCCCTCCCCCTCCCCTATCCCCACTGTTCCCAGGTCCAGCTCAGGGTGGCTTTGGCCCTGTCCTGGGTAGGTGCTGAGTTGGCCGTGGTCCTCAGGCCAGCAGCTTGGGGGCAGCACTGCTGCCCCCTCCAGCCCTCCCCCGCTTTTCTGGCCCATCTTCTCTCCCATTCTCTCTGACCCCAGTCCCCAGACTGCTGGCTCTGTGGGGTCCCGGGCCCTGACCCTTAGCATGCGGCCCCCCCACTGGAGGTGGGGAGGGGCAGGCCCAGAATGGAGGCCAGCTGGAGGCTGAATATTTTGGGGAGGATGTAAACACGAGGGAGGGGCCCAGAGCCGGTGGGAAGTGGGCGGATGCTTAACCCTCCCTGGGCTGAAATGGCCCGGTGCCCTTGGCCCTCTGAGCCCCCCACCCCAGAAATGGGGGCCTCTCCTCGGCCCCACCAGGGCTTTCTTTCCAGAGCAGACCCTCCCTCCCTGGCTGTTTTTTCTGGAGCCTTCACCACCAACCCTCTCTCAGCCCTCTAATCCCGCCCCCCCGCAATCCATGACTGGGGTCTCCTGAGGGCTGGACCCTCCCCGGGAACTCTGCCTGTACTGTCTTCTTGGGACCAGAAAGCCACAGATGTGGAAACTGAGATCCCCGCAGTGAAAAGCTACCAGGGTCTTGCCTTGAAGAGAGGGCTCACAGACAAATTGCCCAATCTTGCCCTTTGGAGCTGCGCCCTTGGCCCGCCCCATCCTCCCGTCCAGCTGTCCTGCCATTCTCTCCCCCTCACCTCCTTTCTTGCGCCTTGGGGTCTCTCCTAGGCTTCCCCTCCCGAGGCCACTGCCGAGGCCGACTCCTGGCCGGGCTGTCAGCCTCTTCCCGGCACCCCCTCCAGCTTCTCTCAGGTCGGCCCCCATCTCCTCCCCCTCCCACCTCCTGGGCCCCCTCCAGCTCCCAGCAGCTGAGGCTC